TCATTAACTCGAACATTTTGAAATATGAACTCACAGCATATACCCAGTGGCCCCGCTGTGTTAATCGTTCCATGCAGCTAAACAAGACCTGCTTTATGTTTTTTTATTCCATGCACACACATACACTGTCACACTTATTCCATTTTATTCAGATCGGTCGATGTACGTAGGTGATTTGACTGACGCACGGGAATTAATATCATCTCAAGTTCCAGATTGATTCACAAATTTAGTCTTATAGAAACAACAGATGAACGGAATTCCGAAAAGAATAAATAAAGTAAAAACTGAACAAGACAATGTGGATATTTTTGAGCATTTTTGTTATTAATAATCGACCATGTATGTTGAGATACACAGTTGAATATAGAGTTCATTGTATTTACTTTTTGTAGCACGCATAAGTATGAAATGGAGAAATACGCGCATGCGTTTTGAAATAATATTACGTACCAATATTTAAAGCAGTTTGAAATGCAGGCTCTGGATGGCGCAATTTTGGGCATTCCATCCCAGTTTCTATTATTATTATTTACAAATCTGAATTAATTAATTTGAATTTGTATTTTGCAGTTAATTTATCATTACCTATCCACAATCTCATCATTTTATGGTGTGATATATTAGTCTGAAAATGGCACCTTACTGAATTGCAAAGTGTGGTCATTTAGAATTTAAATGAATAAATAAATTAAATGTCTGTGTCAAAAATATCTTTTCTAGTACCACCTTTTTTACCATCGTAACATCATCGGCAACTCGACAATGTTGCACACAAGCAAACGTAATGAAGGTTAAACATGACCATGCAATACTCTCGTTGCACTGGTGACTGTTGACCCGACGACAAAAGTAATTTTATAATCGAAGCAATCGTGTTGAAAGGCAGCTATGATATAATCCCGACTCATAATAACAATAAAGAAATTACAATTTTCATCACTTGTAAGCACTCGTAGAATCGCACCCCTTGACGTCCACTGTTCCGAAGAACTCGTGTGTTCCCACACATCGTTGTAATTATTATTGTAATTTTCTCTCTGGCTTTTGTCAATAATTTGTTTTTTGGGTGGAAAATTGTTCTTAATTAAACAAGCCGTTCTGTTTTGAAATGGCGTTATTTTTGCATGCCGGTCATTGGCCGTACTTAGGCATTGTCGTTGATAGATTTACTGTAGTAGTGTCATGTGACAAGACAAATTCTGATTGGTGACAATACAGCTTTAACGAAATGCCTATCATCAAATTGATTGCTGTACGGCGCAGCTTGACACGCCCTCATCGTTCATTTTTGTGTGTATGTCTTGCGAGGGAAGCTCCAATCCACTCAAGACGTCATTTCCATCATGTCTATTTCGCAATTAATTATCACTGGTGTCAAAAACAATTTATTTAACCCCATGGTTTGTGAGAGTATAGTTAGCGGAACGTTGAATCATTCGTTGTCCTTCTTGCACTCTGTGGTTGTTACTTAGTTTAATTACATGTATTCACAACAGCGTATGCGTACAGCATGCGCGTCCTACAGGGATTCCCGGTAAACAATTTCGACAAGAAAAGCGCCACCACGTGGATTAGACGAAATTATTTAGTCCTTTGAGTCATGGGGGCGCACTCGCGTGATGGTCAACATTTGTGTTTACAAGTATATCCCTGTTCTTTCAAGTGGTAATGATACTGATGCTCGCCTTACTAACAATATATTATACCGGAAATGTATGCGGGATATTGTTTAACAGTTCCCTGTTATTTGTTTCGTTGCAGGGCCTTCTGTGAATGGCAATTGGGGCGGATGGTCTCCTTGGACTAACTGTCCTGTGACATGCGGTAGTGGAGTGTTGAGTCGTTACCGTCTGTGTAATGATCCGGCGCCTATGAACGGCGGTATGGGTTGCCAAGGAGAAAGACTAGACCAATCAGATTGTGAGGGTTTGAATTCTTGTCCAGGTGAGTTGTTATCTCAGCTTTAAATGGGATGTTGCATTGTTTCTATTTTCAAAAACTCAGTTTTTGTGTTTAATGTTTTGTTATATCAATGATATCGCATGGTGTCGTTTATTTCTAATGAAATATTACAGTATCTATATTTGTATTCATAGTATAATTGTATTTTATTCCAGCGATGACAACCGGTGTAGCTGGTAACCTCCCGGATGATGACGATTGTTCATGTGGGTGTAAACTGCTTACAACTCAAGGCACCATACGGTCTGCTAATCTGCCCTGTGGGCAGAACGCTGTGTGGATTATCAGTCTCTCCGATGGCCTGAAAATCAATCTCACTTTTCACAATTTTGACCTCGATCTGTCACGTGAGTGGCTTAAGGTGCGTAATGGTGGGTCGGTGACAGCGCCGCTGATAGTCTATCATACAGGTAACCGGGCACCCAGACCAGTTATGTCGTCCAGGAGTCAACTTTACATCGAATATAAATCTGCAGTAGATGAGCCTGTTCCACGGACGGGATTCAGCGCTTCCTACTCATCTTTCAGTAAGTTTACATTTTTTGAGTGTGTGAGAAATGTTAATGATTGGTTTGGAATGATTCCGTTTTATTCACTCTAATATCTGAAATGTAAATCTGTCCACCACGTTAGACCGTCCATATTACCCTGTCCACTCTAGAACTAAATCAAATCCGTCTTAACTGAATTCGGCTTAGTTTAATTCGAATTTTTTGTCTCCACTGTAATTTCGAATGTTATCTTGATTCGGATTCAAACACGCTATCTATGCCCACGCATACACCGTGTTTAGTTACACCAAAGCATGTGCGTGTAGTACCATGGTTAAACCTATGCATCTTGAATAATCAAAAGAATAATGTTCTGGCCCAGTGATTGAGAGCGGACGATGATCCAGTTGTCGCACTGTTAAAACCATTCTCAATTTGGGTCACGCTCATTCAATTTTTGGGCTTGATTGTTGATTTTTACCACGATGTTATTATTTACTCCTATGTTACGTATTTTGTTTTTATCTATGCTTAGTCGACATCATAGCGGAGATGGTCATGTTTACCAAAAACTAATATTCTCAGCACTTTGTATAATATGGCTTCCACTTTGTGCATTTAACAAACTGCAGATTTGTGTTCACCTAAGATGATTAATTATACTATTAAATCGATTTCTTCAATTCACTCAGCACATACTGAGGTACAATTAAGCTTCGTCACTAACAGAGAACCTATATAAAGTTGCTTATTTTATGAATGTATTTTTCCCGAAATTTTCCTGTACAAACACATTTCCAAAATTCTCTTTGTACAGATAATGTGTGTCCCAAAGCAGCAATTTCCATGAGTTTCTGGTGGTAAACCCTTAACTGTGAATTCCGATGTTCGGAAATTCAAATTTCAATCTGGGCGCTTTCATCCGTCTATGGCTCAAGTAACGACAATATGTCACCCCTAGACCAGGTTAAAATCATTGTCTGTCTCGATGAATTGGAATAATGGTTTCAAAGTTAGCGCTGTGAAAAAAAAAAAGTTGTCTACAGTTAACAACGTTCAATTTGTGCACCAATGTGTGCTTGAGAACGCACGCGCATTTAATGTTTCGGGCAGAGGGGCCGTATCTAATTGGCAATCGAATTCGGCTTGCTGGTGATATTTCTATCAGAGCAATAAACCGCGTTAGTTAATCCGGATTAGACCCTGCTTCATCCAAATTAGCGTAAGGTGAGAACGTTACAGAAAAGTAAAAATATTGTATTTTTAGCTCCGCTGTCGACTTTGTCGAGCGGAGCTTATCATATGAGTGATTGTCCGTCGTCGTCCGTCGTCGTCGTCCGTCGTCCGTCGTCGTCGTCCGTCGTCCGTGTCAATGTTTTACTTTTTCGACTTCTTCTTGAAAACTACAAGCCTAAATGCTTTGATACTTGGTGTATATGTACCTTGGGTAGACCTCTCTTAGGTTTGTTCATTTCATGTTGATATCTTTAATTCTCTAATTTTGGTGAATATTTTTGTCATTTTTGGTAAAAACTGATATTTTCGACTTTTTTGGTAAAAACTGATATTTTCAACTTCTTGTTAAAAACCGCAAGTCCAATTGCTTTGATACTACATATATAGGTACTACATGTGGACCTCTCTCAGATTTGTTCATTTCGTGATGATATCTTCAATTCTCTAATTTTGGTGAATATTTTTGTCATTTTTGGTAAAAACTGATATTTTCGACTTCTTGTTAAAAACCGCAAGTGCAATTGCTTTGATACTATTCATATTGTTCATTTTCTAATGATGTCTTCAGTTCTTTAATTGAAATGTGCATTGCTAACAGCGGAGCTATCTCAGCCGATAGGCTGCTTGTTTTTATTATTACATATTACTAACATCATGTTACAAAGATGAAGAAAATGAATAAAAAATATGACGTCACCGTATTTAGTTGCGAGAAAATGGATCCATAAAATACTGTGATGGATGTCTTTCCTGTTTTAGAGCATTTTACTATTGTTCACTGTGGCAAGGATATATTTCAAAATGTTGCTTAGTTACATATGGTGACTCTAGAAAAAGATATATAGTGTCTTACAAAGTACTTTCTGATGTCTAGAGGTATTGCAAAATTGACAATATTTGTATAGACCACAAAGAAATGTATTTGAAAATCGTAGCTAAAATGGCATTTTATGCATATTATTTCAGCGTTTTTTTCTCAAAAACAGATTGACAGTGACATACTATAATATTCATTGGTTCAATTATTTTTTTTACCGAAAATGGCTTTCTGTGTTTACACAGAGATCACGTGACTATACACATCCATACACACACTATCTTGTCGATTTTATATCCAGTGTGAAATAAGCTTTCCATCAATATATAGCTTTGTGTTGTTCAGTAAATATTTTATATGAAAATATCAGTTTAGAAAATCAATACCAAAAACGTGTACAGCATCCTTAAACGATTAAATGTTGACAAGGCTTGACATGGAATAATGTCACTGCTTTATTGCGCTAAACTCACGAATGGCATTACACTGTAGCGTGGTTTCGAACTAGATCAGCTCAAAGTGGGGACCGGGCTATTGACTGCGTGCTGGATAGAAGAATGAACCTTGGCCACTCCTCGTAAAGGTGATTACACCAGGTTATTACAACATGGGTAATTGATTCACGCGTTATTGAAATGAACCGGATATCTGCCAGTGTTCGCATCCGTAGTACTATATTATCCACAGTACTTTATACTGTACGTGTGGCTCTGACGTATGTTAGTGATATCCAGTGTACAGCACATATAGACGGTACTGTTCACCTCCTAAATTATCGAACACATGCCCGTTTAAATATTGTACTCATTGTACAGTTCAAGCCATATCCTGCATTTTTAAAAGGGAAATTTATCATCAATCCCGTTTTTCGAGGATCTAGGCTGTACTTTAGGAACGTCCAGGTTGCGGTATAGGGTAATAACTAATCAATAAGTTATAATGGCGTTGCTGAGAACTTGAATCACAGTCCGTCCGGCACAATATCGTTGTGATGTGTGCTAAATGACGTGAAACTGTTTGTCAGAAGCTGTATGTACTCAGTATGAGATTTAGGTTATGGTCACGGTGGAGTGAAATCCGTTGTGAATAATTTCCTTTGAAATTCAAGTGATTCTAGCTGTTAAACGAATACTTGCATACCGAATTAATCGAATGAAAACACGGAAAACGCCATGAAAGAGCCGAACCCTCTTGGTAATTCAAGTGGCCATCTTGCGCATGCGTACATACACGTGTCCGGTAAGACTACACCTGTGCTTATTTTAAACAAGTGTGTCAGCGACGCGTACTATTGCCCCAAAATACATAGCTGACTAGAGCTGAAAGGAAAATATTTGTTTGCGGGAACTAAAGGCAGTTGAAATGTAATATTTGGACAAATTGTTGTAACAGTACCAGGGAACGCGGTCAGTATGCATGGCGCCCACGGAAGGTGGTCAGTCGATATTGCTGGCTGTACGCTGTGAAGACTATGACAAGCACCGTGTCAGTAACCGGTTAGTATATGTCTTACTGCCATTTGCCGTTTAGGTGAGGTGTAATTTGAAGTGAGTGTCGCCAAACTGCCGTATCACTGCCCGTTTTCTTTCAGACCAACGTGACCGCAGTGTTTTTGCATCCATGCGAAAAATGGGTGAAATCGTATTCGCTCTCAAGTTAGTCCTATCTTCTAACAAGGTCGTGGCGATATTTATAACACTTATATATTCTTTGTGACGGCACGACAACACATTTCTTAAGTTTGACCGGTATACGACGTTAATTAGTACTATTCATGTGCAAACATCAACTACGTGTTATACCTCGCGTCGCCCGACGTTAGTACCACAACTGGTTACTGTTGGCGGTAAATGTTATGCGGTGAATGTCTGCTCTGTTGCCGGGATGAGGTGTAGTGTTTGATAACGCCATGTCATCACGGACGACCTATCCGAGACCGGCTAATGAGGTCACAGTTCGGGCGATGAGAACACTGATTCCACGGAGGATGGTGATCGGACAGTCCAATTTGCCGTAGTATTCAAAGTCGCTGTCGCATATTGAGTAGGAATGTAATGGCATGATCAGTGCCGTTTACTTACTGCGTTAAGTGAGCTTAACTCTCAGTCTCGACCGAAATATGATTCCCTTAAAGGAATCGAAGAACATGTGAATACAAGAGAAGGGCATGTACTATACGCTTATAAAATATACACCTAAGTAGCGAGGTGCACCCCGGACTCACCTGCCTCCATAGTAAACATATCGCATTCTTTCTTTAAAGTCGTCTACTTGTCAGTGGAATGGAAAGCATGCTGTTTTCTCGGTCTCTCTGGCGGATACACGTATTTGGGGAGGGGATTATTGCATTCAGAACAACCATGATGAAAATGTTTTTTTTTTTGTGTGTGTGTGTGTGTGATAGAATTTATCGGTATGAAAGTAGACATTCTGTTGACAGTTTGGAACAAAGTATTTCGCGACTACAAAGTGTTCGAAATCTTCGTGTGCACGTGAAAGTGGAAATAAGTAGGCCAATTGTTACAGCAATACACCGGCCTGTATGTTTCTCATCACGGACTTGCGACATGAGAGAAACCAGTCAGTCTGTTCCTTTCCCCCGTCAAAACATGTCACAAACAAGGAGCAGTACTGATCCGAGAAATATAGCCTGTCTTATCAGACTCCGATTTCAAGAATTGCTAGATTTGTTTTCTGTCGTTAATCAAACACAATACCGCCCTTCTTAATGAGTCAACCATTGTATAACCATGTTCACAAAATACAGCATTGGAATTACCTTCAAGTTTCCTTAGTCATAAATGCAATCACAGTAATTGTCAATAATTAATATCCCATTCTTAATACTCAACGGTTAGCATAGACAATTTCTGATAGTTCAAAACGGATTAAGGTGGAAGTCCAATCATAATATTTCCGCTTTTGGAACGCGTTATAACGCTCGCAAAATGACCGCCTTCCAAAAAAGTACAAGTCATTTTCT